ACGAACGAACAGACAGGCGAAGTAGAAACCGCTCTTGTCGACGGACGGACCAACGAACAGACAGGCGAAGTAGAAACCGCTCTCTTGTCGACGGACGGACCAACGAACAGACAGGCGAAGTAGAAACCGCTCTCTTGTCGACAGACGACGCAGAGACCGCTCTTGTCGATGGACGAAGTAGAAACCGCTCTCTTGTCGACGGACGGACCAACGAACAGACAGGCGAAGTAGAAACCGCTCTCTTGATTTGACCGAGAGCGGCGTAGATTGCAACAATTCGCGTGCTCTCAATTTTACGGATTCCACACAGACCTGACGAGACCGGGGAATTCTGACAAACGTCGCCGGGTGGGCGACACAAACCGTGTGCTGTTTTAGTTTCTATCGAAATCTGTGTTAATGCTGTCGTGCACCATAGCATCTCGCATGAGTTATGGAAAGACCTTTCAATAGGAAGGCCAGAAGGCAGCTAGAGTTCGACATGAAAGGCCAATATATGTACAGTGCAGTATGTATATATAGATTTGTACGATACTTCCAACATTATAATAACGCAGTCAGAGCTATACTCAAGCTCAAGTGGCGAGTGGCTACAAAATATAATTATAGGTGTATGATAGATAAGTAAACTTGGCTGGGCTTGGCACTGACAGCAGTGGTGTAATTATTGCTCATTAATATGTTTATAATAAGAGGTACACCTAGCATTACAACTTTGACCAAATACACAGGGCGAAAAGGCAACACTTCTATATATCATGGGCCCGTTGTGTTGTCACATCTTTACTTAGGTCATGGATCCCACCTACTGTATTCTCACTTACTAGCCTTCACCATCTAGCCACAGAATTAATTATGGACACTATGTGTATGAATATGTCGTGGCTACTGTATTACATATTGCTGTCGTTATGCATAAGTACAAACAACATTAATACCTAGATATTTAGGTTCTTTGAATTGTAGTGTTGCTTTGTAAGATATAGTAAATAGATGGTGTGTTATCTTAATAATAAATGTTCTACTCTTAGTATTCCACAAATATAGAAAGTAGTTTCCCCTTCATGTCAAGCCTACAACTATTTGAGTAGGTGGGAGTATGTGTTTTATATTTTGTTATTTCATTTAAATAAAATGAAAGATAAATACCTGTCTGTTGTATTGTTTCTTCACACTACAAAGCAAGCTAATGTGTTGCTGGCAACAACTAACTAAATCAGCACATTTAAACGAAACATTTGTCGCATACGCATGGAATGCAAAATTCTTCGAGACCAAAAGCGCAGATTTTTCATTCACAGATTGTTCATTTATTAGACGATCTAGTATTAGTCAAACAGACCGAATCCCATGTCATCGTCAGACTCCTCAGACTCCGCCGCCGGCGCTTCCTTTGCCTCTTCGGCGGCAGCAGTGGTGCCACCTGCAGCGGCTGCTGGTGCGGCAGCAGCAGCGAACGCAGCCAACTTGGACGGGTCGCTGAGCAGTTCCTTTATCTGCAGACACAAGTACGGTATTTTTTAAATGCGACACAAACAACTAGAATCTTCTTACCAAGGTAAAAAATACACGGGAGCGATGAGCGGAATACACACTGCTCCCGTGAGGCTCAAAATAGCTCCAGTAAAATTTTAGACGAGAGCCATTTTTCCCACAGACTTTTGAAAAAGAGCTCCCGTGAAAATAAAGTATTTATTTAAAAAAAAATTCCCCTGCTTCTTACATGCCATAAGTATAAACATTGGCTTTTTAAGGGGGTAAGCATGGAAGCACCTATGCTTGTCAAAACAGAACAAAAGCTTGAAGCGTCAGCAGTACGTTTTGAATCAACACGGTTGAGTAAAAATTAACCAAGATAGATCTATTATCTACCAACCGAATGAACTTATTTAATGAGAACAAAAGCTATTATTGTTTGGTTGGCATGAACAAAATGTGGACACGTATTGACCCTCTTACCATTGTTGCCTCTGCAAAGTTGACATCTGTTGCGACAGCAACAGCCAGCAGATTCTTGAAACCGTTGGCGATAGAATGGGGGACAGACGCCAGCGTAGGGTAGCCAATTTGCAAAGACACTGATGCAACGTTCAGCACTCCCTGTTGAGAAAATACAGATGGATTCAAATTCGATCTTGGGAATTGCAAAAGCAAATGCAAAACCTACAGAATATTCTCCAAAAATGTTCTCTAGACAAAACTTTTTATTCTGGTATAAAATATATGCGCTGCAGAACAAACTGGATTAGTTCAATGTGAAATAAACACGTAATATGCAATAGACTTACCGACAGGAAACGAACACGCAAGTCTTCTGGTGTGATGTCAAGTATTTCCGGCTCAAAGACGGTACCAGAGTCGTACACTAAAGTAATAAGTGTTTACAGGTTTAGGACATTTACACAAATAAAACATTAGAATTTTACATTTAGAAAAGTTGACTGTATCTAGGCACATTCAGACAGCCTGGGTAGGCGAGTTCTGTTCCGGGCAGCCGCTGCCAGCACCGGTGGGTTCAGCCATTTCTGGCTCTGGTACCTTAATGGCAGCTCCACTCACATAACAAGACTTTCATCACGATGTGCTTTCACGTCACACGACCCACAGAGTTCGTACTGTCACACTGTCTATGAGAAATGTGTTTGCTGTACACACCTTGCTTGATGTGTAGCCCGTAGTGGAAGGGCATGATTCCCAACATAGTAAGCAGAGTTGCTTCAGATGCACCGACCTTGCTATCTTTCTTGATCAGGTGAACATCGCTCTGTTTTAACAGAAATGACATTTTTCTTTAACACAGTTAATGTTATAACAAAGTGCCGCAGAGCGGCAGGCTCACTTGCACGGACAGGCGTTCATGACTGCTAACTCATCTGGCAAACGAATGAGAGCCCGCTGCCCATCCACCCACGTTCGCCGCTCAGAAGCATATACTATATCTAGATACTACTTAATACAGATACTAAATCTAGATAGCTAGGTTTGCTATACGGTAGTACAAGTAAATAAAGATACAAGCTGTGTAACTTTAATTCTGCCTTTCGCTATATTAACCATGTTATCATAGGATACTGTGCACGAGCGCGACGTAGTGGTGGATGGTGGGGAGAGTGGGGGGCGCGGGCGGTGCGGAGGCTCTAAATCAGCAAAAACAGTTTGCCTCGAGATGGCGCGAGCAAGTGTCCATCCTAATAAATCAAGATGTGCATCACCTTCGTGCGTGATAACCTCATCTCCATTGAGTGCTGAAATCCAAGTAATATATCAGGCGGCGAGAATTCGCTCAGCCTGTGAGTTAACACATCGCCATTTGAAGTTGCAAGGCACTAATTATGATTAGAATAAAGGCGTCATTCACCTCCCCATGCATATGCGCGTAATGGGATGCCCCAATTTTTTTGCTACCACGCAAGCATTCAGTGGTTCGTTAATGTGCCAATACAGGGTTGCTTAATTACAAGACTGCTTTAAAAAAATAACTAGATTTAAGGAGCGTAAACGTTGTTCAGCGCAGAACATATTCCTTTGCAATGAACTATGCAACTGTAGTCCTCACACTCACAATCAGGAAAGCATTTCAGTCCCTTGTCTACACGATTCACAAATCGCCTGTTTAACCTCTCTTCGAGGGTCAAAGGTTATCCGACATTACATCTTCGCATGTCAGACGGAAAGTACATTTTAAAATGGTCCTTCATATAAGCCATAAAATGGTATGGTCACCGCGTGAACACAAAAAGTTTTTCAGAGTCGCTCCGTCAGGACTGTCTCAGAAATTGTCTAAAAATATCCCCTGTCACATTGACTTTGACACTGTGACCGTCCAATTTAGCAGCAGTGATGCTTTTCCTACCAGGCTCTATACCGCGACTTATTAACGAGCCGTTAGATTTGTGCCGCAAAGTCTGCATTTCCTCCCTATACCCTTAATAAGGGAGGAATGTTCCCCTTTATTACAATTACCACGCACTATGACTTTGCCCCCAGCTTCGACATCGAGGCCCAACTTCGTTTCGATACCCCCCCCACCCCCACGTCCCGAATACGTGACCTGTAACGTCGAGCCGTTTAGATGTGACCCCAACTAGTGCGGACACACGGCCGGCACGCACGCACGCTCATGCGATTTTACAAGCTGCATCTGACTATGTCAGACGAGCTAATAATACTTTATTGACTAGAACAGGCAGCACTATTATCTCTCCATCATAATTAAATTTCCAGAACCCCGATATTTCATGCAGATTTATACAATCTCTGGACTTTGTATTAACAATTAATGAACAAACTTTTGCCTCAAGCAAGTGTTATGGCCTCTCGGACGGTAAGCATGAGAGTATCCCAAGTATGCTAAACTTGCTATTATCATTAGGAAAATATGGATATAATAGATGCGTAATTTCTAGGGCCATAAGCAATTTCCTAAGACATTCAATACCAGGAAAATGCACGTTTAATAAACTTGCAGGACTTTGCAGGTAATCCAGGGCCCACTGGCAGAAACAAAACCAGTCTTCTTTTTTATTATTATCTCATAGACTATTGCCAGAAACATATATTGAGTTGCAAGTTTCTGATAAGCAGTGTATTGAGGTCCCGCCTGAAAGAAAAAGTTGATGTTAAAACTAATGTTAAGACTAATTTATTTTGCTTCTGACAATGGGCCCAAGGACCTGTACGAACCATGACCTGCATACCTATGCAACACAGTAGGGTGTGAAAACAATAAATGTGTTCAGACAGCCCATGTAGCAAGTTTTGATCTTAGTGGTCGAAACTGTCAGCACCAGTGGGTTCAGCCATTTCTGGCTCTGGTACCTTAAAAACAGGCCCACTAGCAACTTAAGGCTTTCATCATTACACACAGCATTCATTGATGAGCTTATAAACGTTCCTTCACCACATACAACCGCTCTGCAATATTAATCACAAGCAAATGTTGACTCACCAAGATTTCAATGGTACCCCTGGTGATTTTGGTTGGAATGGCCAGAGCCTGGAAGAACGAAGTCTTCTCAGGACCAAGACCTGTTCCCTGTGGTGGAACCGATACATCTATCGGTGCAAGCACTCCAGCCTTTGCTGGTGCTGCCACCTATGAACCAAACATGCAGCATTATCACTCATTGCTATACGACATATTTCAAACCAAGTGAAAGAAAGGTCACATCATTTCAATGGAATGCACTAAGACAAAAAACAAGAAATTTGTCAAACATGTAAAAAATTTACTGCCCCCACCAAGTTAATTGCTGCTCAATGCACCTTATTGGTCAGGATTTTGTCTCGGACCTCCACCAGATCTTCCTTGGTGAACACAAAACCAACATTTCCCTTGATGTGAGGAAGCAGCCTACATAAACATTAACAAAAAATTATGTGCAATTACACTTAGTGCGACAGCACTCCGACCAAGCACACATAAAACTTTAAAGTGACGATTTATGCAAAAAATCACCTAATCAACCCTTACCAAAACATATAACCGTAAAAATGCATCTACAAAACCAGTTTATAAATGGATCGTCTTGTTCTGATATACTGACAGCAGTAACTTCAGAGTACTTACTTCTCCAAGTGCGGGTTGTTTTCCATGTGACCGCGAATAGCCTTACGCATCATGGTGTTTTTCCCCATGAGAACCACTACAATAATTAAAACATATTAACTTCACCAAACTACGCCTCCATACAGATAGTCGCGCGATGAATGAACTTTAAAAACGATGACGAAATGTTTTGTTCGTTATTTTCTCCACAACGACGACAGAATTTGATACAACATCGGGGTAGCCCGGCAAATGATGCAGAGCAAGCCCGGGTGGCTTAAACGCACACGCTTTTGTTCACATAGAAAAGAAATGCCCAAGCACCCATACAAACAGACAAGCATGACCACACGCACCTCCTGTTCCTCGAAGGGAAATGCGGATGTTCTGCATTTGCTTGGAGCCGACATTGTCTGCTCCCACAATGAAACATTTTGGATATTCATCCAAAAGTTGCTAAAAAAAACAATGTCTTTAAGTGATTATTCTTGGCATTAGGTATACACTCAAAAATTGAATTAACATACTTCAGTGTTTCCCCTGCATTGACACGAGCAAGGCGGCCACCTCGCTCAAACCTTAGCTGCCAAGCAGAAATTTATCCAAAAACACCGCCACGCAGAAATTTATCCAAAAACACCGCCTCGCTGACGAAAATCACTGTTCTTCCATCAAGAAACTACACTTTATTGACAGCGTTCAAAATTAGTGCCGACCCGGAGGCTCGAGGCCACCATCTCTACGAAACTGCCGGTCCTCCTGACCTGCAATTTTTCCCCTCATATTACGCTGAAATATTACGGTTATCGCAACGGCAGTTTAGACAGAATTGTAAACGGGAGCGCATTCTAATACTGAACGTAGACGAGGTATCCAAAACGTCTAGAACCGAGGGCATGAACACGCTCAACGCATGATTCGCCACACAAACAAAACCTCGTGAGTCTAAGAAATCGATTGCGGCAGCATATACCATAGCCCAGTGTTTTTATGCCCGCATAAGGCCAAACAAAAAAATACCTTTGGTTCGGGTCACATGGATTGTGAAAATTAGGGTAGGTAGGTATAACATTTTTTTAAATACTTTTTTTCCTGTAAAAACATGGGTAGGCAGAAATATAATTTTTTTTCCCACAAGTTAAATATATACAGCTTGAAATGCAGGAGCCACGAGATGCAAATGACTTGCAGTTGCATGTACCATTGCTGCAAGTCATGACATTGTTTTCAAAATGTGAACACCAGTTGTGTACTGGTGTCGTGTACTGGTATTCTTGTCGTGTACTGGATAGTAGTGTTAGGAATCGCTCCAAAAACGGAGCTCGACTAATCGTCCCTTTGAACGAGCGAGTAACCGAAGTGTAAACGGCTCTGCGGCCGCGTATAGCACGATAGAATGCGTATACTATATAGTACGCGATCGATCGCGTACATCAAAGCCGGCCGCCGCGCCATACGACCTCCAGGCTCTGTTTATGAAGTAGCCGGCCCAGGCTCTATACGACTGTTTCACGTTGTAGGATTCTAGGAAACGTAGGTAGGAACTGTTTCACTTCTCGCCAACGAAGTTATGTTTATAAATATTTTGGAACTCTCCTTAGGTAAATAAAATGACAAGAGTGGGATATTTGAATATGTATGATCGGCAGGCGGTCTCTTTGAATTTTATTTTTTCTTGAAACCCTCTAAAAGTGACCGCAGTCGCACATTTTATCACTCCGAAATGTGAAGTCGGGAAGGTAATTTTTAGGTCGGCCTAACAATAAGTTCATATGTCGCAGGGATTATCGTGGGCATGACCAGTGACACCTGACACGCACGTAATCAAAGCTGTTAACTGAATTTGTCACTTTTTTTTACGTAGAAAGTGGACTATTTTTTATTCAGTTAGATATCTAGAAGCAATGTAAACTGTATATACTTCAAGATTCTAGGCACTTGTAACTTTGCGGATATGCGGCAGCATTGATCTATGCATGGGGGTACCAAGGACTGGGGAGAAGAAATACTACAATCGGTTATGGCAACTAGTGGTGCCACATTACATTCGGCCGATTAAATTTTGCGCAATGCACACCACACAATCTCTAGTGTAATCCTTAGTCAAATTAGACCCAGGGTGCTAAAGCGACCTCACTGAATCAAACTTATAAGCTATACTAGTAATACACAGCAAAAATACTCGCTTTTTACCAGCAGCACTTTCTCTGCGACATTTATACAACCGGCGTGGTTCTAGACATGCATATTCGTAGGTAGACCGAATAATTCTGTCCCATATAACCTTTTTTATATTTTGGTGAGGGTTATTGGGACAGAACGGGGTTCATTGAAATTTTGTGAGATCGCATGCAAAATGCATGCGCTGCGAATGTACGCCGCTATTGGCGCGAAAAGAAACCTACCATTCCCTTCTACATGGCCTTACCTTGCTACTGATATGTATACATTCACTTCAATCGTTATTCACTTCTTAAAAGATTGTTTTTCAGAAACCCCGCTTCATTCCACTTTAGTGAATCACGTTCACCATTTACAAACAATCAGACCAATCAGAGCGAGTCTATCAGCCCTCCTGCAGCACCACAGATACAAGCGAGAACCAGGCTATTGTAAGACTCGCTCTGATTGGTCTGATTGTTTGTAAATGGCGAATGTGATTTACTAAAGTGGAATGAAGCGGGGTTTCTGGAAAATAATTTTTTAAGAAGTGAATAATGATTAAAGTGAATGTATACACATATCAGTAGCAAGGTAAAGCCATGTAGAAGGGAACGGTAGGTTTTTTTCCGCGCCAATAGCGGCGTACGGGCCGCATTCGCAGCGCATGCATTTTGTATGCGATCTCACAAAATTTCAATGAACCCGTTTTGTCCCAATAACCGTCACAAAAATATAAAAAAAGGTTATATGGGACAGAATTATTCGGTCTAATTCGTAGGTTACTTTAAATACAAGTGTACAGTGTTCACCACCACTTACAATAATTTTTAGGAAATAGCTTGCTTTCCACGCAGACCTGTCTTCCCTACCCATCTTCGTGTGTAAGGATTTCCAGTAGCTGGTTTAAAGACTAGAATTATCAACGAAAATACGGTAAGTGTTAGAACATAATTACATCGAACAAACGTTTACAAACTTAATTGGGTTTGCTGCTATTTAACCACACTCTCAACAATACCCAAAAATTGAAACAATTTTTAATTGGATGTTTCTCTAACAGGTCACACAAGACAGATTTTAAATGACGTTTTAACGAGGAGTTCCACGCACGTCGTTTCGCCTTTCGATGACTGTTTGACTGTTGATATCACGACCTCAACAAATTCGTAAATACATTTAAAAGTTGATAACCCAGATAAATAAAAACAACACGGTTAGTGTGTACATGATTATGCCTAGTAGTATTTATATTATCTCTAAATAAAACAAACTACAACTGTGAAAAATCAGAGAATTTCATTGGGAAATCCTCAGAATACACTACCTCACTTCGGAACCGTGGAAACAAAAGAGCAGTATTAGTAAAAGTACACCATAGGTGGCACTGCACCTGAATAAGGAAATCCGAGTAGTCTGGCTCCATCCATTTTCATTTCTGCTTCACTGCGAATATTTCACGGGTCGTATATAATTTGTAAGGAACAGAGTACCCGTCTATGAAATTGCAAATGATTTCCGCCATAGGCAGCGAGTTTTGGACAGGAGACCTGTAGGCTGTAGATTTCTGGAATTTCACATAGTATTTGATTAGTATCACTGTTCATACATATTTAAAAGATCAGAGGTAAATAGTGCGTCACTGTGACTTATTTAATATAGGGGGCCTAACGCATGATTTATTGTTTTAGGAGAAGGATGCAAATGCGTACTATTCACTCTGAATTGGTGTCAGTGACTGGGCCAATGTAAACCACCAGGCTTTCCGACTGTTAGTGTTACACGTCGTAGGACACGCCACGTAGTGTTAAGCGAGATGGGAACTTGTGGCTAGCGCCAATGCCAAATGGCAATGCCTAGCTCTAGTGATATAGCCCACGTACAGTTGCCGCAGGGCCATAGAACATTCTCTAATTTCTATTACGAATGCTCGGGACCAACTTATCCAATGCCAATCAGCAGGTACTATGTACTATCCAGCTGCTTACGAAATAAGAAAATAATTGTGGTGTCCTCGCGACAACCGCCGGACATCAAATCGGGTTGTCCGCACACAATTTCTGGTTCTCTCCCAACAAAAATTTGATCCACAAACTCGCTCATTTTACAATCAGCATAATAATCATGAATCGAGAAAACACCCAAAAACAGTCCGGCCCGTAGCCCAGAGATTTTTTTAAGCAAGGCGGCGGACCAAAACAGCCGAACTGCGCAAAATGCCGTGGATGACTTAATATTTTTCATGGCTCCTCTGCCCTCCCTCTTCCACACCCTACGGCTCCTCTACCTTTAGTCTCTAGCAATCCATGCGACAAAGGCGCGACATTTTTTGTTCATTGTCTCTGCCTCCCAGTATATGTTAATTGTTCGATGCGGGCGGGTTTAGGATTCAAGAAAGGAGCGAAAAAACAGGCTAGGGGGGAGTTGGGTCATGGGGGTCCTTCCCCAGGAAAATTTAAAATTGTTGTTGCTTGGTTCCAATCGAGTTCACCTTTATAAATTCAGAAAACTTGACAATATACCAGTGTTACGGAAATAGCAAGCACTGTCCCATATTTTTATATTATTCACGATTTATCATTCACGGATAAAAATTCTGATGATGCTAGAAAACACGTCGGGATTTGTAAGTATGTGAACTGAACATTATTGTGCCAGCTATGCCTACACACAGGTGCTTGGGACTTGATTGTCGTTCAAGATGCGAAAATATTGAAGCAAATAAGTTATACACCATTAGATTAATTGTGCGTACCACGCGTATTATAGATAGCCGACGTCGGTTTAGGTCGGTGTTAGGTTAGGAGATAGTGTTTCTGGCGGGATTGTCCACCGGACAATGTCTCAGACTGGTTAGGTTGTCCGGCGCAAATTCTGGTTGTCTCGGACAACCGGACAACGCTTATTTCGAGCACTGCTATCACTATGTAGTATAAGTATGTATTTCCGCACGTGGAGGGGTGGGCGGGTTGTGTTGGCGCGATAACCATGCTTCCAACTAGCTACAAGTTCCCTTCTCGCTTAACACTACGTTGGCGAGAGGGTCACAAGCCGGCGCAATAGAATCGCGTTCGGCATGACGTGCGCTGCTATTAAACGTAAAATTATCTAACTTTTTATGATTCTAACCGCTTCTCTGTACTTCCACGCCTCGATTTATTATACCGTATGTGCGCTATCAATGAGTATGTTTACGTGTCAGCGAGCAATTATTAGAATTGATAAGATAAAACTCCGAACAAAGTCGCCATTTTCCCATAGATATCCCATCATACATAGCGAAAAATCTGAAATTCATTCAGTAAATAATAGTTTTCGCGCATGGCAGTAGTACAAACAGAGACATAAGAACATCCAGTAAATGCAGTATGGCGTTTGACAACGTTTAAAAGTAAAGCTGTTCGGAATTATCTTATTTTAACGTGTATTTCGAAGTAAATAGTAATTAAGAAGTGTAGCGATAGTTGCAACATGTAACAGGTGAGGGTCAAATGTGGTAATACGATTGTTTTATTTACGAAATTTTACGAAATTCGGAGTTTGTTTTCAAGCAACTAGGTATTTCGGTTCGACGGTGTCAGGCTCCTACGACGTGTAACAGCTGGAGAGCCTGGTCGGTTTAGCTTCCAACCATTTTTGTAATGCGTGGGCAAACTCGCACCAACACAACCCGCCCACCCCTCCACGTGCGGAAATACATAGTTCCCGCTGACTGGTGCTGGTGCAGAGCCACCAAAAATGGCCGTTTGAAGTTCGTAAATAATGTTCGTTCAGAAGAAATACCGCAAGTAGACCATTTCAACAGTAGTTAGAGGTTAAATTTTAGTAGCTGATATAACTTAAGACATATTCACTTTGGATAAGAGACATTAATTGCCTACCACAGAAGTTTTATAGCCGCGAGTAACCGTGAATAAGTTGGTCCCGAGCATTTGTAATAGAATGTTCTAGAGCGCTGCGGCAACTGTACGCGGGCTATAGTACTAGAGCTATGGCAATGCCGTGCACAAGCTGCTGCTGAGCAGTCTAAGCCAAGGTTAGGTTAGGATTAGGGTCGAATCCTATTATACAGGGGTCGAAATTAGCTGTATCCCGATATCTGCGGGATAGTAGATTCTTGTGTTGGATACCAGATTTCAATGCTTAGTATCCTGCCGGGATAGTAAAAAAAAAATCGTCAAAATCGGGATAGTGGTTGTTGAGCATATTTGCAAGCGCAAGCGTAAGCGTGGCCGATGTTTATCATAAATGTGTTGTGTATACATTGTACAAAGATGCCAACCACTACGATTTATCCGTATTTTATACGAATTTCTATTCCTTTTGCACCACTACGACCAGTTTGTATCAAACTACGAATTTCACTGTGATCGAAAAAAATCAATTATTGGTCAATTATTGTCATTTTTTGTCTATTTATTGTCATTTTTGACCCTCAGAATGCAGGAAATTGCATCTCAGAATCAAAATTTTTTTCGGGGAGCCCCCTAGCAAACTCGGGTCACTACGTACGTGACCCCCGAACTACTAATTTGATGGCCAGAAACTACAGATTGCTTCAAATATGTGTTGGCATCTCTGCATTGTATTCACCGAACCAGACAATGCGTCTAGACAATACGTCTGTAGTGTACTTGTCTGTGCATATCTGTGAATCTGTTTTCATGTTTTTATATAATAATTACATTACATAATAATAATTTTCAAATGCTATTAATGCATATTTCAAGATTTTGTATACCAACATTGTTGAAATTACTATCCAAAAAATGGGATACCAGATCTTTGCTGGGGGATACCAGATTTCAATACCTGGTATCCCGAATGGATACCATAATAAAAATCTAATTTCGACCCTTGCTATAGGACCCCAGATTTTAATGATTGATGGGTTGAAAGTCACCAGCGAAGATGTAAGTTTAGCTACAAATTACAAAGTGAACAGTCGGCCATAGCACCTACCACTAGTACCAGTACCACCAGCCTACATCACCAGGTTCAGGGCATTGGTAGCACAACACATGTTGCATTATGATTATTGAATATTGTGCAGTCGTTGAGCCAGTAATGAGTATTTATAATATGTTAAATCTTCAAATTCAGTATGTGGTGGGGAAAGCTGTTTAGTCTTGGTGTTTTTAAATTATAAGAAACAAGACTCACTTTCCGTGTAATGGTGAAAAGATGAATTGTAACAGTTTTTCATATGGAATTAAAGGTTATTGGAAAGTATGGCTATGCTCAGTTTAGGAGAATTGTGTGCTTTCCAGGGCTGGCAATTATTATGTGTCTCGAGTGTAAAGTTGAGTGTTTATGTATCCACTACAGGAACGATGGCACGTGGTCAACAGAAGATCCAGTCACAACAGAAGAATGCAGAAAAACAAGGCAAGGGGAAGAAAGGTGGCCTGAAAGATCAGAAAGCATCAGCGCAAGCAGCACTGTCTTTTAAATGCTCTGTCTGTATGGTATGTATTCTTTATGTACACGGAAGTGTTACACATTAAGGATATATACTAGGGGTGTAACGATATACCGGTATATCGGTATATTGCAAATATATTTGAAACTCGATATATCGCGATACACTTCCGGATATCGATATTTTACGATACGGTGGTATAACAAGAAATAAATTACTTGACACTTGCCTCTTATGTCTATTTTGTTAATGGGGCTCAAAAATTATGCACTGGCGTGTATATATTACGAAAGCACAATGCCTATCACGAACGCATGCAGTAATTAATGGTAAGCGACCACTGCATGGAGCACTGCGCGCGGTAACTACTGCGCGGGCAGACGTGTGAGCGAGACAGAGAGCACGGCAACGCAGGGAGTCTATATATAAGACTATGCTCATGAGTGCCGACGCGCGTGCAGTGTCGCGCAATACAGAGCTTGAAAGCGAGCACCCACTGTTTCAGTTTACCAGTTATCAGTTTCAGTTTTCAAGTTTCAAGTATCGCAGTAATTAGTCCAATTAATGCAGCAGGGGTAATCAGAGGGTAATCTCAGTACAGCGGGTGTTTAAACTAGCTGCGTCACACGTAGCAAAATGCACGGTTCGTACCCCCGCATACGAAACAGAGTTCGTACGTTACTCGGATAAATTTCCCGTCTGAACGACACGAGGTATATGGCTCAACTCAGTTTCGTAAACGCGTATCACTAATCCTGACAAAAGAGTGCGTTTCCTACGTACTCGCGTAAGCTAATACCGTACTAGCGGACGTGTGAAGAACGGCTTATAGCTATAGCGCGTATAGCGCTGTCACGGCTTTGTGGGGGAGAGAGAGAACTGGAGAGAGGGAGAGAAGAGAGAGCAGAGAGACGAAGAGAGAGAGAGAGAGAGAGAGAGAGAGAGAGAGAGAGAGAGAAAGAAAGAAGAGCAGC